TGTAGAATTTGATTGTTTCAAACATAAGAGGCCAAGTTGATGAAGTTCAATTTCTGAACAATGATAATTTAAATTTGTATTGAGTTTTATGTGAAATTTCCTGAATGTAATTAATTTAATTGTTATGTAACGCAGTATTATGCAAAAAATTGCATCGAATAATGCAATACAATCCATTAATCGATTAATTCAGCTTAATATTGGCCTTGAATAAAAAAATATAACCATATTATTGTTAAATCTGTATAAACAATATATTTAAATATAGCACAATTGCATTATTATTACATAAATTTCAGAACGTTGATAATATTTTTTTCTCTAATTAATAATCAAATAATGAAATCTTGCCAGTTTATGCAAGTATAATATTTGTAACTACTATAAAAAGCTTACAAATAATCTCATATTCAGGCCATAAGCAGCGTTTTTGTTGTACATCAAATGATCAATAATTATTTTATTTGGAAATAAAAAAAGCATAGAGTTTTTTTTTAATAATCAAATATTAGATTTCATAAGTTTCTTGAAATACATGGAGAGGTGTTACTATACGATCAGCATCATCAAAACTCCTGATGAGTGCTTTTAATATTTCATAGCGATGATTTGAGAATTTTCCAACGAATCTCTTTATTCGTTGTTCATTCTCCCAAAAACACCTAATTCTATAAATTGGATAGAATTTCTCAATAACCAAAAGTGCTTCACCAATTGTAATCGGATATTTTGCATCAGAATAATCATTATTTGGATCAAATTTAATGTTAATGTGACTCATCCTTTTGTTGAAGCAGTAAACAAATGCAATCCATGCTTCATATGGCCAATCTCCGTGACCAAGATTAAGTTCTTTTTGTATTGATTTGATTTCTGTTCCACCAATTTGATCTTTATGGAACAAGATTTTTGGTTGAATTGTAATTCTTCATCTAAATCTAACTTGAATGATTGAGGTAGAATTTCATCTGTTTCTTCACTTTAAAAATATTTTGTTAATAACAATGTGTTTTCTAACTATTGGAATAGCTTTATTACATTTATATAAAATTGCTGAAATTGCAACAATATCTGCTAGTGGATCATTGCATGAATTCAATTTATTAGAAACAATTTTTGGAGCAAGAAACTTAGCAACTTCTAACAATTTTCGATTAATTAAGAATGAAATGGATCTTAAAGCAGCAACTTTTAAATTCACATCTTCATCTCGAATAAAAGAATAACTCTTTTTGCTAATCTCTTTATAATGCTGAAGGCTTATCCATTGCCTTTTTTCGTGTTGTTTAGCTAATAAATTATCTGGTTTAGTTGTATTAGAAGAAGGATCTTCATTATATTCAGATATTTCTTTTTGTATATTACCAAAATTAAATGGTGCTTTATCATTTTTCAGGAATATCTCCTTAATAAATGCACTCATTGCTGGTGAATCTGAAATCATTTTTGTTGTTTCATTTGTTCTTATTCATGTTATTATTTCTATATTTTGATGAGGAAGATGATTAAAATCAATTATTTGTCTGAATTCATAAAGGATTGTGAGTGTATCAATAAAATGTTGTATATCGTTATTAATAATTTTTTCTATTACATTCAGATTATTTAAATTAAATGTTTCTTTACTTTAAATGCATCTTGTTAGTAAATCGTGTTTGTTCTTTAATGTTTCAAATGAATCAAAAACAAATCGAAAATCCGTAATTTCTTGTTCATTACTTAATCCAATTACATGATATATTTCTTTAAATACAGTATCTGTTTCATCATTTAAATTAAGATTCTTAATTGATGAATCATCATTAACCATTGTGATTTTTGATAAAATTCAATTAGTTCTCTTGCTTCTTTGAGAGGATTTTTACTCTCTGAAATTGAATTAAATAAATTCAAAAAAGAAAATAATACTTGACCACCAATATCTTTAGGCATGTATTGAAATATTTTTGATTCATGAATTTGATTGTAAAATTTGATAAGATCAATCATACTTAAACTATTATATGAGTCATTAAAAATCAAAAATTCATTGTTTGGATATTTCAAAAACATTTTATATAATTGAAAATATCTAATTCGCGAAAAGTAGCTTTCGTTTCCATGATCATCTAAAAATAAAACTGTCGAACTATACGGGTTATCTAATAATATTCGTTCATTTCTGCTTAATACAACTGTAAAATCTGTAAAATAATCAAAATCGAATTGTGATGAATCAATATCAATTTGAAATATATTTTTATCAATTTGATAATAACTTTTGTTACTTGTGTGAATGAATCTGTCATAATATTGTTTGTTTCCAAAAGCAAATACCTTAGCGCAAAGTGGGCTGACATAAAAAATTAATAGCAAAATCTCGAATGAGAATGCCATTTGAAATTATGTTCCAATCTGGAATACTACTTATAAGGTGGATAAAAACAAATTTTTGACCATCAATTTGGTTCAACATATTTTACAGATTGCTTAGAAATAATAATGAGAATAGCCCGTACTTTTTTATTCAATATTTTATTTCAAAGATTTAAACTAAGTTTTTTAATTATTACCTTATTCACAAAAAAATTGAGAGATTTTAATTCAAATTTTCTATGAGTCTTCAGAAAGTAGGACGATAAGTAGGGACAAATTATTTTTTTTAAAATACCATATCTTTCAATTTTGAGAAGATGAAAATAAAAAAAAAGAATATAAAAATGTTTTTTATTCAGGAAAAATACCTTTTAAATAGCTTTGGGAGCCTTTGAGGGCTAAACCCAATTGGTTAAGGTAATAGCGGGAGCCTCGACCTGAAATGAATGAAGGTATTCATGCCTTAATAACTTAAAAAAAAATATTTAGCTTTATTCAAATTTGAGAGGACGATAAGAAGGGACAAATTAAAAAACTTAGTTTATTATTATTCAATTTTTAATTCAATTTTTTTTTTATACTTCAAAATAAAATTAAAACTATCTCAATGTTTACAAAATGTAATAATAATATTTTAATAAATTAATGATTTTTATTCTTTAATTTTTCATAAAAACTAAAATTATGTTAAATCCAATGAAATGATGAAATCTCATTTCAGTAAAAATTATCTATTATTTGGTACAAATTTATATTATTGTTTTCGTGAATTTCCACATCTAAATGATTCAGTGGTTGAACCAATATTTTAATATTTTTAATATTTTGAAAAGATTCATTATTCTTTTCACAGTTAAATCGTGGAGTTTCTTCATTACTTACAATCGCCTTCATTTTTTCAAATTTTTTAGAATAAATATGGTTTCGAGTCTCCAAATCTTCACTTGGTTCAACAATGTCTAAAAAAAAGTCTAAAAAATATTCAGGATCTTTGTCTCTCATTTTTTTAACGCCCCCTTTTTGCGAAAATATCAATAAATCAGTAAAAAGTTCTTTTAAGAACTGAACAGCTTGAGATTTATCATTAAAGTATTTGAGCCTCAAAAATCCTAAATACGACACCACATTACTTATGTCATTCCTCAATTTTTCAGATGTTATTAACAAAACACTTAATTCAATGATTTTCATCAAAAAATTAATGGTAGGAAGCTCTGTATTATATGGTGTTATTAAGCCTTTTGAATATGCCGTACCTTTTATAATACGATTTACATTTTTGGCCATTAATGGAATATAATTAGAAAAATCATTACTAGTGCGTAAAAAAGCATCCAAAATACCAGATATTCCATTGTTATATGTTTTTTTAATATATGGTCTATTTACATAGGCTTTATATTTATCCGACCAACTCAATAATTTATACGTTGTATTAAAACGATACTTATCATCACTAATTAAATATAAAATATCTCTTTGTTCGGTTAATGGTATTTCAATAATAATTCGAAACCATTTAATAAAAAATTTATCATCAAAAAATATACTCCTAAAGAAAATCCTATCTTCAAGTAAATTTAAATTCATTGACTTCCTATAAATAGGATGATTTACATCAACATATTCACTCAAAAAGATGCGATCAGTATTAATTTTTATAAAAAAGTCATAAACAATTTTTTTAATAATCTTTAAATCTTTATTTTGTTTCTTAATATAAAAATCGGAATTCATTTGTTGATTGATAAATCTTGGTTTTTATCACAATATTTATTCATAATATTTTTTGAAATATATTTTATATTTTCTAAAACCCCCAACAAAACCGTTTACAATTAAACATAGAGTTAAAATAATTAAGAATATCTCAATAATAATGTTCAATATTAAATTATAATTTGTGTATATTGATTTTTTAAATGCAATATAATATTTTAAATGTAATTTTTATTCATAATTTGATATATTATCATGAAATATTTGCATTATCAATCATCAAAAATAAATTTCAAATATCTTCTGGGGAAAGCCAATTATTCTTAATTCAAAATGGGTTTCTCCTGCTTTTAACGTTTTATTTTATTTTCATTACAAATTTCATGATCATACTTTAAAATTCTCCTTTTACCCTACCTACAAATTTAAAGCATTTCACTGTTATTAGTAATTATATTTTAATGAATTTGGAAAATATTAAACGATGGAATCAATTTTAAAACGAAAAAATTCCTTTGCAAAAAAGGGATAATTTTTTTCTTTTCAATTCAAATTCATGCATTGAGTAAAAATCATTTCAAAGTTCCTCCAAAAGGTTGTCTGGTATTATATAAAAATGAATTTAAAACTACACTTAATTATACTTTTATATATGTTCCAATTTCAGTAATAGTATACCTTTATGATAAAATGTTAAGGCTTCACATTTGGACATTTATGTCTATATATCATACTTTTTTTTTTTTTTTTTTTTTTTTTTTTTGGGAAGAAAACGATCATAAAAATATGAACCTTTTAATATTTTAAGAGAATATTTTTCTTAAAAATCAACATTTTTATGTCTATTAACAATGATTCGCTGATTTAATGATATTTTGATTTTCATACTTAATGCTAAGATTGAAAAAATTGTAAAAGTAAAAAAATGGGAGACCCAGGATTCGAACCTAGATCATCACACTCCCGGAGCGTGTGCCCTACCTTTAGACCAATCTCCCTTACTTTAATTATTCTTTTTTTTTTTTTTCAATATTAAAATTATATCAATGAATTTGATTGTATCTGAAAAACCTGACATTTATAAAAATTTAAATGTTTCTGAAAATTCTAATGTTTCAAAAGTTGAGTTGATTTAGATTATTGAATTAATTTGGAAAAATATATTCTCCCTTTTTATCTTTCACTTCATTTTTCTTACTTTTCATCATTTCAGTAATTTATTGGCCCCAAACTATTGAAATTAGTTATGAGCTCGATTTGGTTTCAAGCCCAAAACAAAATAAGAAAAGTTTTGATTGCCCATTCTAAAAAGAGTAAAGAAAGAAAAACAATCACAATTTTGAATTACCATTGTTAAAAATTTCAATGACTAATATTCAAAAAGTTTATCTAATTGATATAAACTCGTTAAAAAAAATCATCCAAAATGACTTGTATTAACATTGATGCCATATTACTTTTGGTGAAAAAGTTTGATTGGCAAATAAAGTACAATGAACACTCCGACCATTTAAAGCCCAGATATTAATTAAATTCAGTTAAAGATTATTTTTAATGTCTGGAATATGGTCTGCAAATGAATAGTATTAACATTAATGAGTAATCATACAAAATAGGCGATAAAACGCTATACTATGAGAATATTATGATAAGATTAAAAAATAAATCAAAAAATGGGAGACCCAGGATTCGAACCTAGATCATCACACTCCCAGAGCGCGTGCCCTACCTTTAGACCAATCTCCCTTGCTTTGATTATTTGTTTTTTCATCTTTAAAATTATGTTTATGCGTTTTTTATCTTTTATTTACAGATGCCTCTTTTATTTCCCCTAAAATGATTAAAATAAAGACTGAAAAATAATGATTCAAAAACAAAAATAAATATAAGTAAGTAATTCTTTATTTATTCAAGTTTTTTAAAATGGTAAAAAAGAACAACATTACTCCGCAATTTGCCCAAAGAATTCAATAAGAGCAAATTTAATATTTAATTCATCATCAATCCAGCTGAAACCTGTTGGACGTAGTTTAACGAAACGATAAAAATCGTTACCTACTTTTGACAGTTTAAAGTTAGCGAAAAAGCCAGATCCATTCAGTATCGGATCTTTTGTGTGGCGATCAACTTGCACCCACGTTGAGCCATCATTCAAGACCTCTAAAACCCAGTTTTGAAGGTTGTTCAGGTTCTGGCCATCTGAAGACGACTTGATTTTGTTTCTTCTGTCTTTGAAGTCAAAACAGACAAACGGATCTGTACTGCAATATCTAGAATAGTAACAACTTGGTCTTTGGTAGTCGACAAGTATCTTTGGGTGGCATCTATTACTATTTGAGTTATTGGTTGAATGATAATTTAGTATAGTTTTTGTAATAAGATCAGAATTTTAAATTATCATTCAACCAGAAATTGCAATATGTTATTAAATAAATATTCATCATGAAAAATTTTGAAAATGTAGTGATCTTCAAACTTTTTACTTTTGAAATAATGTAGAGATTTTCAATAGCATTTCTTTGTTCAACCAAATATGTTCTCAATTTTTTCAGAAAAATAAAATGAGAACAAAATATTACCAAAACTTCTTATCTAAGAAAAAATATGAGAAATTAGATCTCGTTCATAATCCAAATATGTGTTCTGCCTTGTTGCAGAAAAAGATTAAAGATAAGTGTATCATAATAAATTCACAAAAAGTAGATATGCTTGACGATATTTTCCTTATTTATTTCGATACCACTCTAATTATTACGAACAAATCAAACTTTCATCCAATTCAACAACTTTTCAAACAAAATGATATTTCTTTAATTCATTATATTCAAAAAAATTCATATTCCGCAATCAATGAACAAATCGACAAATCTATTCAACTAGAAAAAGTATTTTATAATGAAACAAAAATTGAATTATTTTTATATCGACTGATGAGATATCTAAATCAAGATGAGAAACATGAATATGAAACGGTTTTTGGTTATTTGCTTCAAAAAAGTTACAATGAATCGCGAATTGATCGAGTTGAAAAGTATAGAGAATTATTTCAACCGAATGTCAAAATCACCAAAATGCAAATGGATGACTTCATTAATTTATACGAATTAGGAAGTGGTTCAGGCGGTCATGTTTACTTAGCATACAATCATAAAGAAGAAAAGATATATGCGATGAAAATGCATAATGATGGTGACAAAGGAAATGATAAATTACGAAAACGAGAAATTCATAATTATGAAATTTTTCAACATCCTTTCTTACCTCGATTTTATGGTTCACCGGATAATAAAAGTGTTGTTATTGATTATATTGATGGTCTTACACTTAAAGAAATCAAAGAAATACATCTTGATTTATTTGAAAAAATAATTATCATAATGGAAATCTTATTCACGATTCAATATTTTCATATGAAAAAATGCATTTATCGAGATTTGAAACCAGTTAACGTCATTATCGATCATTACAAAAATGGTATTATCATTGATTTTGATCGAATTATTGAAGATAGTGGAAATAAAAGAGAAGATCGGACACTTACATTTCTTGGTAATTATATTGCACCAGAAATTATTCAAGAAGGCAAACCATTTTCAACTAAAGCAGATATTTATTCAATTGGTAAACTTATTTATTATATCATTAAAGAAGAAGAAGCAACAGAAACAAGTAGACTAATGCTAGAACCAGACTTTTTTGAAATTCAAGAAATAATTGATGAAAGTACGAAAGAAAACCCAGATGAAAGACCAGAAATATCAGAAATAATTTTAAAAATGATTAAATATTTCATTAATAATATTAATAAATATCGAATGAATGATTTCCTAATGAGGAAGTTCTTGAAAATCATTGAAGATAACAATTCATCAAATAAATTTTCAAATGAACTAGATATTATTTATTCAAGTAATTCAAATATTTCAAATATTTTTAACAATTTCAAACAATGCTTTATTAACCATGATATCACTTTAAGAAATCAATATCTGCATGAAATTCTTTATAAATTCAAATTTAGTTATTACGATGAACTCGCAGAACAAGAACAAGAAGAAAAACTTTTACAACTTCAAGATGAATTGAAAATTATTGTTATAGATGAATGCGATTTTAACAAGATGAAATATTCGATTATTTGTTTTAATTACAATTTAATAATTATCAAACGAAGTGGGGAAAATGAAGATTATTTTATTAATAATTTCATTATGAAACACATCGAATCAGAAGTTTTCTTTTTGAAAGAATTAGATCATAAATCCTTGTGTGAAATACAAGCTTTTTCAAATCATTTTAGAATTAATAATAATGAATTTAGCATATTTTGGAATATTATATCTAAATGTTTAATATTATTTCTACTCAAGAAAAGCTATAACCAGATTCAAATAAGACGATATGATAAACATTATAGAAAGATCATAAATAATGATATACCAGAAGGAAGCTTTTTCATAATAAGAGAAGAAATATCAGAAGAGATTAATGGAGCATCATTAATATATTATATTCCAACAGAAGAAATAATGATACTAAAAAGAGTAAAAGACACAAGTGAAGAAGCAGAAGGAGAAATAAATGAGAGAATGAAATATAAAGATATAAATATTCCACATATGAATCGGTATTATGGATATATTGAGAAAGATGATATGAAATATTATTTAATTGAATATATTGAAGGAACAACACTAGATAAATATGATAAGAAAAAATTAACAACTAATGAGAAATGCAACATTATATTAAAAATGATGATTGCTACTCGATACTTAGAATCGGAAGGAATCATATATAAGTATTTATATCTTAATAATATTATTATCGATAAAGAAAAAGAACCAATTCTAAAAAATTATGAAATAATACCAAAACTTCACAATAAAGAATATTTAAATTCAGCTCAAAAATATGTCAGTTTTCTAACTTATCTCATTATTTACTTATCTTATGATAATCATGAACACATTCAAGATATCAAAAAAAATGAAAAAGTATCAATCAATGAATTAATTAAAATATTTTATAGAAATATTCTGTTGAGAACATGTGACAAAGAATCTTTTGAATCTAATGTAATTCAAAAAGATGAGGTAGGAACTGAATATTGTAAATTCTTTAATTCTCTTGGATATATTTCAAGGCATAATATATTAAAACCAAAAAACATTTGCAAAGCGATTCATTTTTATTCGCTTGCAGCCAATGAAAATTACTCTCGAGCACAATTCAATCTTGGTATTATTTATTACAATGGAGATGAAATACCAAGAGATATGAGCAAAGCAATTCATTATTTAACACTTGCAGCTAATCAAAATAACTCAAAAGCACAACTCATTCTTGGTATTATTTATTACAATGGAGATGAAATTTCAAGAGATATGAACAAAGCAATTCATTATTTAACACTTGCAGCTAATCAAAATGAACCAAAAGCGCAATTCAATCTTGGATATATTTATTACAATGGAGATGAAATATCAAGAGATATGAACAAAGCAATTCATTATTTAACACTTGCAGCTAATCAAAATGAACCAAAAGCGCAATTCAATCTTGGATATATTTATGACAAAGGAGATGGAATTCCGCGTGACATGAATAAAGGAATTCATTATTATTTGCTAGCTGCTAATCAAAATAATTTGGATGCGCAATTTAATCTCGGATATATTTATGAAAAAGGATATGGAGTTTCTCGGAATATGAACAAAGCGATTCATTATTATTCACTTGTAGCTAATCAGAATGATTCAAAAGCGCAATTTGTTCTTGGTATTATTTATTCCAATGGAGATAAAATTCCACGTGATATAAACAAAGCAATTTACTATTTTTCACTTGCAGCTAATCAAAATCATTCAGATGCACAATTTAATCTTGGAGCTATTTATTTCAATGGAGATTGGATTCAGCGTGATATGAACAAAGCAATTCATTATTATGGGCTAGCAGCTAATCAAAATCATATAAATGCGCAACTTAGTCTTGG